AGCAAACCTGAAACAAGTACACCTCTCAGGTGTTCAGATATGAATTTGTAAACTAGTGTGACTTCAATTGTTGCATTCTTGTTCTTGGCCAGTGATTTAAAATATTGATGATTGCATTGAGCATTTTTAAAACCCAAATTTGGGTTAATTATTTTTTTTAAATGCCCCTTAGCTTTAAACAAAATTAAACTTGTAAGACTGAGGACATACAATATAGTGGATGCAAGGTGTCATGGACCCGCCCCCTAAGGGGGCATCACTATAGCATGCGGCACTTACAGTGTAGTGATGTAGAAGGTGGCGCTGACAGCTGCCAGCAAAGAGAAAGAGGACCATACACATGTGTACAGTGACAGAAGAAAAGTGACAGGACCTCTGTGTAATGTGGTGTTTGAATTTTTCTTGCTGCAGGATGCCCTGGAGATGCTGCTATTGAAAGATATGCCAAGACTAACAAGCCATCCACTAGCAGACTACCACTATGCAGGTAATCTTACCAATAGCATTCCATCAACAGTTGTCTGTGTATATGTATCTGTGTGCTGAAGAATGGAAAGCAATGTGCCAGGTGCAGTAGGCCATAGCAATTATTCTTCATTGTAGTGACTTTTATACCAATAGCAATATAATGTATTGACTACTATACAGCGGTGAAAGCTGATTGGTTGCTTCTCATCATTAATAGGTACAAATGATAGACAGTGAAAGATCTCACATTATTGGTGCAATTGCCATACCACTTAGACCTACCTCAGGCTAGGTTCACACCTGCACTACACCGCACAACACCCGGGACACACGTCCCGTGATTGTGCGATCCTGTACAATGCAGGTAGCGATTGCCGCACAGCCCCATTGATTTCAATGGGGTGACATCCGCGTGGCAATCTCAGAAAAAAAAAGGTACATGTACCTTTTTTTTTTGTGATACACGACAGGCGGCTGTTTTCGGAAGCTTGGGCGGAATCGCGGCGGGAAAGCGTGCGATCCGTCCGGCGCAACGGGGTGCCATTAGAAAATAATGGCACCCACAGTGCAATCGGTTCACACCTTGGCAACTCCTGACTGTGCTGCAATCCGCGTGGAATCGTGCACGATTGCCGCGTGGTGAGGTGTCACCTAGGTGTGAACTTAGACTGAGTCTTCTCTTCACAAACGGATGTAATTAGTGACTGATTCTGAGGCTCGGTGCCAATCATTATCCCTCAGATACCTTCACAATATAAAAATGTTAAAGCTGTATTATTTAATGTTTTACCTAAGAGTAGACACCATTACATGACTGCTATCATCTTTATAAGCAAGAAACGCCTCTTGTGTGGCCTTCTCCAATACATATATTCTGAATTGAGAAAGCTTGACGGATGACATCTTCAAGAAAAATACAGCAAGTCCAGTTGCCTTGATTTATTTTTTACAAATATTATTCAATATAGTTTCACTTTGATGGACCATTGATGGAGCCTGACTTTCCCTAATTTCATGGGTGAGCTTGGCCAACTATTATCGGGTGGTGTTTTAATCAAATAACCATATAATCGTGTTTGTGGACTATAAGTCATAAAAAACGACGTGAATGCAAGTACCGTTAATCAATGAAAAACACGGCACTGTACTAGTAAATGAACATGTGTATGGTTAGGAGGTGACTTTTAACCAAGTGTTTCTAGGTGTCTCAGTGTATAAAAATAGAGTGAAAAAATCTACACAAATTGAAAAAGTCCTTCACTTTTTTACACCTTCATGTGCATGGATAACATTAGGTGACAAATCATATACTTGAAAAAATTCTGGTGAGTAAACAGAAGTATAAACGAAAATAATTATGAATGACAATTAATTGTGCTGACACAAAATAAATATAAACAGCTACAGTCTCTGTAATAAACAGCTCCGCTTCAAAGCCAAGTAGCAGAGCCTTCCAATGTTCGGTAGAGTAGTGCTTTACTGGGGTTTGTATTAAGATCAATACATCCCCCTAATAGAGTGCGTACTCGCCACAAACTTTCGGCTGTAACAGACAGCCCCAAACGTTTTGTCTGATGGGACACCGTTACTGCGTCGTCTTTCGTATCTCGTGCTTTACCATCAGTCCTCAGTGTAAAGTATTCCCACAGTCATGCAAAGAAAAATTATTTCATCGGGTAATAGTTCCAGAAATAGTTTATTTAAAATGTCTTTAAATTTTTTTGATTATTTTTAATTTTAAAAGAAATTACTCTACCGAACATTGGAAGGCTCTGCTACTTGGCTTGGAAGCGGAGCTGTTTATTACAGAGACTGTAGCTGTTTATATTTATTTCGTGTCAGCACAATTAATTGTCATTCATAATTATTTTCGTTTATACTTCTGTTTACTCACCAGAATTTTCTCAAGTATATGATTTGTCACCTAATGTTATCCATGCACATGAAGGTGTAAAAAAGTGAAGGACTTTTTCAATTTGTGTAGATTTATTCACTCTATTTTTATACACTGAGACACCTAGAAACACTTGGTTAAAAGTCACCTCCTAACCGTACACATGTTCATTTACTAGTACAGTGCCGTGTTTTTCATTGATTAACGGTACTTGCATTCATGTGGTCTTTTTATGACTTATAGTCCACAAACACGATTATATGGTTATTTGATTCACCTACTAGCGCTGTTAATTCGGTTTAAACATCTTCAGACCCAGCGGTCTTCAATACAGCAGCTTGTATTTTATATCACAATCTTTATTTATTCATATTGATGTTTTGACACGATACACTAAAAATTCATCACATTGTCTGGACATTAAAAACTTTGCAGTATCTAATATAAGTAATGTGTTAAAGAAACACTATTTTTGTTTAAATCACTGCCACCTGTGTGAGATACAACTAATTGAACTCCCAGCGCTGCTCATCTTGTTATATTATTATCGGATGGTGTAGTGGCGCTGCCTGGATGGCAGTCTAATTGAACAGTGGAATAGCTGTTAATGGAGGATGGCTATCAAGTCAAGCGCAGTTAAAGCAGAATCAAAGTTACAAATGCATGTGTCTTTAAAATCTTTACTTGAGAAATGGAACATACAGTGAAAAGCTTCCTGCAGTCTAAGAATGCTTTTTTGAGTATTGTCCTGGTGCATGTGCACAGTCCTGACAACAGCCTGGCATTTATAAAGGAGCAAGGAGCTCTGAATGCCAGGCTGGCCTCGCATGACTTCCCATCTTACTTTGCAGGGTAGTGCTGATGGGATTTTCTCCCTTATGTCACGTGGACAGGGCAGGGCTGGTGCTGCATAATCAGGAAGCCCTTCAGAAAAAAAGGGCAACGTCATAATAGAGGCAAGAGGGACCGGGTGTGTGGGGCCAGTGACACTTTAACAGAGCAATTCTAGAGATTAGTGCACAGAGGTTAGCCTGATTGGGTGCATTGTAAATATTTCCAAAACTGTTCATTGTGCTTTAGTTCCGCTGTAATGCTCAGTAACAAAGTAAAACTAAATCACAGAAGAGGCATCTCTGAGTAATGGATGTAGTAACAGGAATCTAGTGGTGTAAGCTCTAAGGCAGGATATTTTTTAAGGTTTAACCACCTGCGGACTGGCCACTGTATTAAAACGGCTGGTCCGCTGGCGCATTGTTTCGGGAGAATGTTCCTGTATTTTCCTGGCTGAAAATCCACTCAATGGTAAGTCTTGCTTTGAGGGATCCTTGCAACTTTGCAAAATGAGGGGCTACTCTGTTGCAGCCGTATAAATTGTACAAACAACATAATGGATCCAATGGAGATGGGTGGCTCAGTGGAAACTGTAGCAAAATTAAATGGAATGATACATTACTAGATGATAAGACTGCAAAGAGCTATCTGCATATAAAAGGAAAACTTTGGGGGGGCTTGCAATGTTTAAAATAGAAAAAAGGCTGAAAGTGGACCTGTGTCCAGACTATAGACATTAAAGTATTTACATATCCTTAGCAAGTGGTAAATGAGCTTTAAACCAACCCACAGCTGCTTTTAGATCTCTCCACCCTCACCAGATACCGCCCTGTTTCACTCCTTTGGTTCTCACCCAAAGTCCCCAAACAACATGAGCATTCTTAACTAGCAAACTATTTATCCTTTATATCCCTTGTCAATCACCTTCAATCTGACTCCTGCCCCAATAGTTCCACTGAAACTACCCTTACCATGGTTATGAACGACACCCTAACTACAAAATCTAAAGACCTCTGCTCCGTTCTCATTCTCTTCTCAGCTCTGACCAATTTCTGCTGCTTTAGACGCTCCTCTTTTTAGACATGAAAGGCACTTCCGTGGATGTCCATTTATAGTTATACAGTGTCTATCCATTTCTTCATCCTCTGTCAGCTGGTGTACTACAAGGTTTTGTTCTTGGACTTCTTCTCTTTTCCATTTATACTCAATGTCTTGGCTTATAGTATCACTTCTATGTGTACTATAATCTAGCCTATCTTTTTTTGATCTTGATCTTACTTCCCTTCTGCCTTGTTTTCCTTATTGTCCAACTGCTGTCTTTGCTTTCATGTCCTTTCACTTCCCTATACTTAACATGGGTAAACTCGTTTCCGTCATTTTGCTCTACTCACTTATCTGAAATGACAATTACTGTTGGAAAACACCCCAATAAGCTCAGCTGCCAAAGCTTGTTACATACTTTATTCCACTCTCTCATTTAAAGCACAAATCACAAACATTTTCCCATTATAGTCCTGTACTCATTTGTTATGGTTTTTGCACTGATTTTTGTCAGGAAGTGCCTTAAAATACTCTTTTATCTTAGCGGAAATTCACTTCATGCTCCAGCTCTATGATGCTCAGCAGTGGAGAATTTGTTCAGCTTCTTCATGTCACGGCCTCTGACAGGTCAATCAGAGAAGGGTGGGCAGTGCTGAGAATGATGGCATAGATGAGAATTGTCCACAAGCCTCACCCTAAGCATCTACATGCATGATGCAGATTTGTTGTGCGGAGGGGTTGTGTTTGATCAGGCCTGTTAATCTACACAGTGCACAGGTCAGTGTGGTCAACTCTGGTCACTCTGCTGTCTCTTGAACTGTGTGGTCATATTTAAACATACTGCAAATTGGAAGTAAACCCATGAAAATGAAGGTTTAGTGCAATATCTATTTGTCTAAGTATCTATTAAAAGCTTTTACCTTTTGTTTTACTCACTGACCATCGCCTGTCATCACCATTTTAAGAACCTATCCTGGGTTTGTCCCTTCCTCGTGCATGATACAACAAAAGTGCACACATTAGTCATATCCCAACGTATCTATTGTAACACTCTCCTTTGTGGTCTACCAACAGATGAACTAAGATCACTCTGGTCCTCTCTAGCTTCACTCATTCACCTCACTTTTATCTCTTCCAATGCTGTTCATCTCTAAAACCTCCTGTACTGATTGTCAGCAGTGGAGGGAAGTGCTTTTCTTCATCCTTATCTCCTGGCCCCCATGTTGTTTCACCTGCACTGTTGATCATCAACCCTTTTGGACTCCAGTTTATCCTCACATTCTTTGAAGCAAGCGTGTCTGCTCCTGATTGGTTGTTCTGCTGCATATGCCTTAAACAATTGATGGATCTTTAAATCGATCAACATTTAATTGTTTCCAGTGACACTTCACTGAAAAATAATCATTTTTTTTTTTTTGTAACAACATTTTTTATTTTTCAATAAAAATAGAATGGACACAGCAATTTACATGTGAATATGCAAACATTTGACATTGCTTGGGCAGGAAAAGTGCATTACAGAAAAATTATAATTTTAAGCACCAAAGGATGAGATTGATTTGGGTGAATCCAATTAAATGTTCCTTCAGCACTGTTTCTGTTTGATGACAGTTACTACTTATTGATTTTTTTTTTTTTAATCGCCCATTTAGTGGAATTAATTTCTGAAATATATGAATTTTTATTGGAATTGTTATTTTGAAAAGTAGCTTGCATCTAAGATGAGTCTGAGATCAGTTTGAAACCAGATCGAGACGTGTGAGTTTGACTTGTATAGAGAAATAAAAGCAAAGCAACCTAAAGCATGGCAAAAGCAACCGTAAACACAAGTGCTTCATAAGATCCAAATGAAAATTCAAACATTGAGTTCCTCATCTGAGTTTTGAGCTTAAGACAGTTCTTCTATCCGTCACTTTTTTTTATAAATAAGACATATACTGTAGATAAGTGTTACCCAGAACAGTGTATCAGATTCTACCTATCATTGTTCTGGTATAGTTAATACATATATGGAAGAATGGTTTCTGTAACCAGCAGTAGCACTTTTCAGTATAGGGCAAATTCTTCTAATCATTCATGAGACATTCCTGTAGTTTACCATGAGAACAGTTGACACAAGTGTCTTTTACATTAAAGACAACACCTTCCCCTTTCATGCTTAGGGTGAAGGTAGATTCTATTGCACGTTGGAGGTAATGTGACACTATCTAGATGAGGATACTCATTAGTGTTATCATTTGGCAAGAACTTGTTAGTGGATGAAAGATCATCCAGACAAGAACAAGAAACCTTCTGGATTAATTATAACCGAGAAACATATTTATCTGAAACAAAAGGGCATTAGACTGTGAGGCTCTTCAGGGCAATGACTGATCTAGTAATTGCCCTGACTGATCTATGGGCTGTGTAAACCTGTATATAGGTCTCCCTACTAAGAACTAGAGTTACACGTCCTCAGCCACCAATCAGCAGCTGACTGACCTTGAAAGTATGAATCTGATCGGTGGCTATTGGGAAATAACACCAGTCCTTGGACAGGACATGCTAATACATAAGGCTCGTTTATTGTTACTTGTAGCCATTGCATACATTAAAGTGTCTGTAAATGGATTTCTCCCTAAGCCACATAGGCCATGGCCCAGGTCGACATGACTGCCAGGGGCAGCACCTAATCATCCAGGGCAATCGAAATGTATGCTGCCCACTGCTACTTATAGGCTCACATAGACTAATGTCATCTGAACCTCCTTCCCCATTCCTCCTGCACACATATATGTACATTTGCAGCTCCCATAACCCTAAGAACAGCTATTCGCCTCCAGCTACTTTTGCTTTCATTCCCCTGAGTGTACTTCTGGTGTGGATACCTAATATAATCACTTGTAATTATCATTATTATTATTAAAGTGTATGTGATAATGTCATGTGCCCCAATGTGTTCTGGTTTAAGCCACATTCTTCCAACTAAACCTCTTTTCTTTCTGATTGAAAGTTGACATCTCTGTACTAAAGAAGTGTTTAGGTGATTGATGTGGCAAGGACTCATAATGCCTCATCTTCAGTTTTTATAACTTAGTGCTGTACGTTAGCCTAACACTATACTAGCTCAAACAAAAAACAAACTAAAGGTAGTAGGTCAAGCTGCTGGTTGTGGGAAGAAGTGAAATAAAAATGCTGGACGTGAAGATTTGTCCTACTGGTATTGCTGGCCAATTAGGATGTCAGAGTCAGTATAGGTAATCCGACTACCAGACTGTCAGCTTCTACATTCCAGAGGATCTCCACTGTCTTGTGTTGCCAAATTGCAAGATTGCGAATTGAAGCTCCACACTCCATTTGATAGTCCAGATATATCTTTACTGGATATAGGGTTAAGGGGACAGTATAGAAATGGCCATACAAATAACCCTTCATCAGGGCTTACTATGGGAGATCATGTATCAGGACTGTAAATGCTTGAAATTGGATACTGTTTTGTCCAGTGTGTGAGAATACTGTACATAAAGATCCGATTTGACCGCCTGAACATCTGCCGATAAGCTCTATGCATTCTTACACACTGGACAAAACCATATCTGATTTAAAGCCTTTACAGTCTTGATACATGTTCTCCTTTAGTAAGCCCTGATGAAGGGGGTATTTGTATGAGACCAGAAAATGCATTGGCTATTTCTAAAATGTCCCCTTAACCCTGTATTAAATAAAGGTGAATCTGAAAACACTGGTGGTGTCAGTTCAATATGGATTATGTCTCTGTGGACATGTTTACTTATTAATAATAATTTATTGAGACAATATCTTATGTGTCTTTTTGTCTCATTATTTGGGTAATTCTTTAATTCAGTACAAGAAGGAAAAAAAGCAACAGCGTGAGGTAGGTAGACTTGGGGTGAAAAAAGTATTAATCTGGTCCTGTGTAAATCTATATATAAAAAGTGCCCCAATGGTTCACTCTTCGTAAGTAAAATGATGTTCTGCTGCTTTATTTCAATAGCCACTATTACATTAGTGACAATTGTTGTTGATCCTGCTAGGTTTGGCTTCTTCCCAGTGCTTCCTGGAATAAGGTGACAATGCTATTCAGAGGCAACTATTGGCATGGTAGCAATGTCATCCTGCCATGCTCTCTTCTGTGCCATCCGCCATACTCTCCAGAACTCACTGCTCCCCTATGCTGGCAGCGGCTCCTTTTGGAAACTTTGCTGTCAACGCTGTGGTCAGTAGTTTGGCCTTGTGGTGTCTGTACAAGGAATCCTGGAAATTGTAGTAAGGAAGCTGAAAACGACATCACCAGCAGCTTCATCCTACCCACAGCAATTGTCCTACAAAGTTGTGTAATGGTCATGTGACTGAATTTTTTTTGTGTTTATTCTTATTTTTCATGATGAAATTGAGAAAGAATGCTTAGTTATTGTCTGACCGGCAATACTGGTGAAAGAGGTTATATGGGTTACAAAATCTGTAATGTAATTTTATCTACATTTTGCAGGCTCAGATTTTTGGAACAACACAGAGAAGAAGAGTTTTAACAAAGCTTTAATTTCCTGCAATAAAGATTTCTTCCATGTTCAAAAGATGGTAAGATGATATACTGTACACTTACATAAAGAATCTCTGGGAAAGAAATGTAGAGCGGATACTATACAGGGCCATGTAAAGGGGCAGCTGTGTTGTGTACAGTGTGTGACAAGTGCATCCAGGTGACATGTGTCATGGTGATTCCCTTTTGGCAGCGATCTTCAGGATGAAGCGATAATTGGTTCACAGATGGCCATCACAGCTCAGTTCCTCCAACAAGAGTCCAGAGATAAGGCCAGCTTCTGTTACTTTGCACTCAGATGCTACTGAGGTAAAGGAACAGAATAAGTTAGAATTTCTATACTCTGTGGGGTAATACTTTATACAAAATGACACAACCATTATTCTCTATATATAATTATTCATTATTTTCTATAGTAGAGTATTTTGTTTACATGCTGATGGGCTAAATGAGTAATGATCATATGTGCAATTTTATAGCCATTATTAGCCAATTATATTTCAGTTTATTGCTGCCACGTTTATGTGCTGATTATTTCTGATTGGTTGCTTTGCACTGTGTCATTGTCAAAATTATGTAAGGGTCAGTTACAAAATTGTAGGTATTGTTAGGGGTTTTTTTCAACATAACATTAGTCAGTGAATCCAAATGATGATATCAAGATTGCAATCACAGTGGGAATGGGAACATACACACCAAAATATGAACAATAGACTATTTTGCTCTATTGAAAAATGTGTGGCAGTTATACAGTATAGGCAGTGAATGTTACAAAATGCAACAGAAGGCAGACCACGGTTACATTCCCAACAGAAGGGAGTCTATTGTTACATACTCAATAGAAGGGAGTCCACAGTTGCATAAACATTACAAGGGCGTCCAAGGTTGCATACACAATGCGTGGGAGTCCACGGTTGCATACACAATAGAAGGGAGTCCATGGTTACCTACACCATAGTGTGGAGGCCACAGGTACATACACTACAGAAGAGAGTACACAGTTACATACACAAAAGAAAGGAGTATATTGTTATATGCACAATGGAAGGTAGTCAATGGTTATATAAACCAGCTTTTCTAAACCTCTTTTCAGTCATGACACTCTTAAAAAGAATGCAAAATCTTGAGGCGCCCCAGTTAAAATGTAAAAAACGTGAGTGTAACAAAAAGGACATGTGGCCCTCCAAAATCCATACTAGACTCATAGCCTGGATAGGAGTCTGGTATGAAGTTTACGGAGGGACCCAACACAAAAAAATAATGAAAGGTTCTCCCTTTCATATCAGAGTCCCCCCCCCCCTTTACATCAGAGCCCCCACCTTTCACATCAGAATTCCCACTTCATATCAGGAGCCCTCTTTACATCAGAGTTTCCCCTTCACATCATGAGTCTCCCTTCACATCATGAGTCCCCACTCCCCCTTTACATTAGACTCCTACCATCACATTTGGAGCTGCAGCTGCCGCTGCATGGCAGAGGGTGGGAGGCAAGAGAGCCTGAAAGGAGGCACACTTCCATCCTTTTCTGAATAGATCCCATACTTCAATGATTAGCGTCATTTCTTTCTATGGTGCTGGCAGCCGGCTGGCCGACCTGCACCATGCAAAGGTATGATGTTGTGTGAAACTTTCAAAGCACCCGTGAGGAAGCAGGAAGGGATCTTGATTGAGAAAGGCTGATACATACAATAGAAGAGATCCATGGTTATATACACAATAGAAGGAAGTCCATGGTCATATACTCAAATGAAGAGAGTCCATGGTTATATACTGAATAGAAGGGAGTCCATGTTTATATACACGATAGCGGGGAGACAGCGGTTATACACACAATAGCAGGTAGTCAAGAGTTGGGATGCTGTTTCCATCACAACCACACACATTTCAGCTTGTCTTTCTGTTCCAGCTGTTCTTGAATTACCTGCTAACTTAGTGAACTCAGGAAAAAGAAGTCATATAAATAATATAAAATGAAGGGTCATCTAAAAAAAATGGCTGCACTTCAGAGTAAGCAAAAGCTCATTTCCCCTTAAGAATGTTGTAATGGTTTTCCTTATAACAGAGGTTCCTAATTTTTTTTATGAAGATATGTGGCCGTGGTCATAATAGAAAGAGTGGACGTGTCATGGCTGAAAGTCCGACCATTAAGGGGAAGTTGCTTACTCACCAAGTTGAGCATAAAGAGAGCTTTTCTCAAATGTGACTGCAAAAGTGGAAATGCACTTTAATATAGAGATTAGTAAATGTACCACTAGAGGGAGCTCTGTATTTGAGGCAACCATATTTCACTTACCTGGTTAACAATCGTTGGATAAGGTATCAACCACTTAAAGTGACACTAAACTCAGGAGTTAAACCTTAAAAATGCATTCAAGTACCTTAACTATTAACAAAAATGTATCTTATTTGTGTATAACTCGGCTGTACATCATCAAATCATCTCTGAATTGGTGCTGACATTGTCCTTCCTTCTGGAAGGTGGCTACTTTTGTTCCCAATGGTCCCTGTGTGTGTTGTAAAGTAGTCAGTGCTCCAAGCTCACTCCCATGATGCACTACAATCTCAATACAAATTAGTAAACTAATTCAGAGATGATTTGATACAGCCGAGCGATACACAAATAAGATACAATGTTGTTAATAGTGAAGGTACTTGAATGCATTTTTAAGATTCAACTTCTGAGTTTAGTGTCACTTTAAGGAGAACATTGTTTTCAATGAGTGGACCTACTCACAGACTTACATTGTGAGAAGGCACTGTAAAGCACAACCTTTGTGTAGTACTGCAAAGCAGGAAGCAGAGCCTGGATACGGGATGAGAAAATATGACTGCCCCATGTATGTACACTATGTACTGTATAATTATGAATTATAAATTAAAACAAAGTTTTAAAATGTTAAATACTGAAAACATTATTTTTACATCAAGCTGATCTCTTTTATATGTACAGTGTATCTAAATCAACAACTGAAAATACCATACATTGACTTTAAGTCTTAAACAAATGTTGTCCTGCCATTCTAGATAAAGACAAAAAAAGTGTCACAGTGTGTTGAATATTACTATACATGGAAGAAAATACTGCACATGGGTCGTCGTAAAAGGATGTGTCTTGTTGAACTTAATGAAGATGACACAGTAAGTCCTGCAGCCATTTCCATTGCAAGTCAGTTAATTTACTGTTTATATTGTTGGTGTTCATGTAAAAAAAAAAAAAAATATTGCATCAAAGAAATTGTCAGAGTTGCTGTGTATTGAATAGAATTTGCACCCTAAAGTTGGCTTTAGACAAGACATTGTTTTTGCGATTTCCAGCCAAACAACATTCCCTTCTCGAAAGAAGCAGCAGACACCCACTGGCTGAATGTTCTCGGCAGGAAGAGATCAGTCTGGTGGGTTTGAAAACCTTGTCAGGGCAATTGGATCGTGTCTGCATATTTGACTCACTTAGGTTTTTGATTAACTAAACAGGACCAAGCATGAGTAAAGTTAGCCTTATAAAAACATTATTGGGGCTGTTCACTCTTCCGCCGAAGGCAGCCGAGTGAATAACCGAGCCGAAGTGAAGTGAGCCGAACGCTGTTCGGCTATTCACTACAGCCTTGTACGGCTGATTTCAGCTTTACATCGGGTAAAGTCAGCCGTACATCAGCTGCCTTCGGTCAGCCGAACATGCTCTGCATGAAGTGCAGAAGGAGTTTGACTCACTCCCTGCCGTTCACCCCTATTCTCATAGGGGCCGAATGGCAGTAAGTGAATAGCCGAATGCCGCAGAGTGGCATTCGGCTCGGCTATTCTGCTAGGTACCTCCGATGTAGCGAGCAGAATAGGAAAATAGTTAAATGAATGTAAAAAAAAAAAATTGAAAAAATATTTTAAAAATGTAAAAAAATAGGAAAATGTAAAAAAAAATGACAAATATTTTAAAGAAAAAAAAAAAAGACACGCTGACCAGAGCACAATTGACGAACTTCCACCGCATAATAAAGCATCTGATAGATGCCGGCAAAATAAAAACAATTGGTTGGAGCTAGCGGCGACAGCTAGCTCCGCCCAACTGTTTCCTATTCACCTGCCAGAGTCTTCTAGCAGGTCCCGGACAATGAATAACAACTGCGCCCAGTTGTTATTGTTTAATGACAGATCAGGGTCCCCAGGTCTGCATCAACACTGTACCACCTAGAACCTCTTTGCTGATCTTAAGACTCTCTTCATTTGTGAAAAATTAGGTAGGGAATTCAGATTTAATTTTGTTTCCTAGACAAGCGTTGATGATGTGGATGATGAAGAAGAACTTCAAGACAGGAAATATGAAGAGGACTCTGAACAAGTGCAGAAATCCCCAAATCCTCTTCACCCAGCAGGGGTGGGCAATGCAGTGGCTGAAAACCTCGCCCCCCCTGTTGGATCATTTGTGTGTGAAATGGGAAACTGTGGAGCTGTAAGTACATTACTCATATTTTTGAGCTTTTATATTTGACTTGAAAGATGCTGGCTCTGGTGGTTTGGATAGTTTATACAGATGCCCCCTGGAAGGCTTTTTTGGGAACAGTTCCAGGTACAGCTAACTGGTAGAAGACACAAGAGGTATAATATCTCCTAGCTGGCTTGAGAACTTGGCTGTATTAAGTGGTAAAGAGAAGTCTGGTTCTTCTAAGGATTAAAGAACACAGAATCCTCAATTAAAAAATGTCTAACACATGCGGTGTTTTTGATTCAGTGTGCTATTTTCTTATTCAGCCTTTCTCAATCAGGGTGTGCCTTCTGGCTTCCTCAGGGGTGCTTCAAAATTTTCACACAAAGTCATGGCTCTGTTGTGAAGAGGGCTCCTGATGTGAATGAAGGGGCTCTGAGATGAAGGGGGGGGGGGCTTCTAAAGTAAAGGGGGGCTGTGATGTTAAGTAGATTCTGATGTAAAGTGTTTGCTGATGATACTCAGTGTTTGCTGATGATACCAAAATTGGGAGGGTAATAGATATGGATTTAGACATTGTAACATTACAGGAGGACCTGGATAAAATTGGGGAGTGGGTAAATGTATGGCAGATGAGGTTTAATGTAGATAAATGCAAAGTAATGCACTTTGGAGTTAAAAATAGGCAAATGGGCTATACACTTATGGGCATGCCACTAGGGAAGTCAGTAATGGAGAAAGATTTGGCGGTCATTGTAGACCACAGATTGAGGAATAGCTTGCAGTGCCAGGCGGCTGTAAACAGAGCAAGTAGAGTCCTGTCTTGTATTAGGAAAGGAATGTATTGCAGGGGCAAGTCCATAATTTTGCCACTCTACAAAGCACTAGTTCGGCCTCATCTGGAGTATGCGGTCCAGTTTGGGTCACCAGTCCTCAGAAAAGATGTCCTTGAGCTGGAAAAAGTCCAGCGGAGGGCAACCAAACTCATCAAGGGGTTGGAGGACCAGAGCTATGAAACAAGACTGTTAAAATTAAATATGTTCTCTTCGGAAGTAAGGAGATTAAGGGGGGACATGATTTTCCTGTATAAAATGTGCAATGGTAAAGGCAACATTATTAGCAAACTCTTTACGATTAATCCCATAACAAAGACTAGAGGCCACCACCTTGAATTGGTGGAAAAAACATTTTCAGCACAAGGGGCGCAAGGGGTTCTTCTCAGTTAGAGCGGTTAAGGTCTGGAACTCACTGCCACAGGCAGTGATTTCAGCAAAGAGTGTGGAATCATTCAAGAAACACTTAGACGTTTTCCTTGGAGACCATAACATTCAGGGGTACAGGTACTGCTAAGAGCAAAATCACACATGGACTCATACACACGCACACACACCAGCTCAATCATACACGCAATAGGTTGGACTTGATGGACTTAAGTTTTTATTCAACCTCAAATACTATGTAACTATGTAAACACATTTTGTTTTTCATTTTTGCGTCCCCCCCCCCCC